TTGTTTTGTGTATCACATAAACTCTGTGTCTGTCTTCACACTACCATTTTCTATGCATGTTTTCTCCTCACAGTCTCCTATCCAACCCGTGCTTTCATGTCTTATGAAGACATGTCTCATCATATCTAAAGCCTATCCCATCCTACAGGAATCCCATCTCAAGATCTTTTTCAAACAAAGCCTCAGATTCCATATCCACAAAGCTTTAGGAGTTTTGTCACCATTAAACTCACCTGGGATCAGGGACCTGCATTAGCCCGTAGTCCACCTAGCTCTGTCATCCGTGCATTCTCCATTATTTCTATGTGGCACTGACTGACTGGGCACTGACCTCTGGTTCAAAGGCAATGCCAATAGCAGAAGTCCCTATGGTTCAGCACCTAAACTGTGTACGTGTTGTGTATAAAACTATTAATCTTCTCATCGCTTCAACCCCTAAAATTCTTCACTATGCCACATTTACTCTTGACAATGATTTGATTTGACAATGATCTTGATAATGATTTCAAAACCAGGCCAGATATGGTAGAGGACACTTTTAATCCCAGCACATGGGAGGCAGAGGCAAGCAGGTTTCTGTGAATTTGAGGTCAGAATGGCCTATATAGTGAGTTATAGGCTAGTCATGATACATAATGAGACCTTGCCTCAAAAGAAAGACACAGGGAGAAAGAAAGGGAGGGAGGGAGGGAGGGAGGGAAGAAATTTAAAAACAGCTAACTTTTATTGGGAGTATCATGTACTTGGAAGGCAGGTTTTCGATAAATATCACAATATACTTATAGACCAAGTGAATATAAGCCCATGCCTGTCGGCTGTATTAACAATAACTTGGGGACTGTTCCATTTGTGTAATTAATTATTTAATATTTGTCTTTAAGTTGAGCCATTTTTTCTTAATTCTTAAATTTGTTTAGAAAAGAAATTGTCACAAATGAAAAGTCAGTTTACTTGGCATAATTTAAGAATAGCAATAAAAATCATAATAATGCAAACAAAAATTTTAAATATTGATAGATTTTTATGCCTTGCCAAAGGCTCTGATCTTGGGACTTCATTCTCATAATAAATCAAGATAAGTAGGTGTTTGATATTTGTATCAAGCTGAAACCTTTGGAAGATTTCCCATAGAAATAACTATGCAAATTCAAATAAAACTGAAAGGAAATAACATTCTCATTGGATGTTCCATCATGCCACCACAGAGAATCTCTTTCATGCAGTGCTTGCCTCTCATTGTAGAAAATATTAACAGCACTAATATTATTTTTGCATTTGAATCATTTATCAATGTCATTTATTAGATGACTCAACCATAACTTTTCTTCTATGCTATTTAGCTATTTTATATCATTTCCTGTGGGTAGATGCAGGAGGAATCTTCAGAATAATAGTAGTAGGTCACATGCCCTGCTTTAGCCAAACCAAAAGTAATCTCATATCCACTGACTTAGTCAATATCACATGACAGAATAATGCAATATAAATTAGCCATGAGGAATTATTTTACAATATTAATAGAGAAGTATATAGGAATAGCTGTATACATTCTTCCTCCTGCATTTATTATTATGTTTAATGCACAACTGCAGATTATTATCTGGAAACATGATCTCTAAAAGATAAGCAAAGTTACTGTCATATTGCTGTGAAAGCTTTCTGGTTTATAAAATAGCTGTTTTGGTTTAGCTTTGGATGAGGATGGCCAGCATTTTGAAATTTATTTGCAATTCTTTTTAAATTTCAGTGTGGGCGTGCTTCACACACACACACACACACACACACACACACACATATGTAGAGAGAGAAAGGAAGGAAGAGAGGAGAGACAGAGACAGAGAGATAGGTATAGATGCAGATATACTCACCTATGCATGCAACGTCCACAGAGACCAGAAGAGGGAGTTGTAATCCCTGGAACTGGAGTTATGGATGGTTGTTAGCCACCATGTGGGTGCTGGGAAATGAGTTTTGGTCCTCTGCAAGAACAGCCAGAGCTCTTAACTTCTGAGCCATCTCTCCAGTACCTGTTTGCAAATCTTAAGACCACAGTTTCATATTATGGATCAAACTCAACAGACGTCAGCAGTTCTAACTTGTACTAATCACCCAACTTTGAGACTAGGAAGCAGAAGCAGCTCCTGTGTGCTTGCTTTTTGGACATTCCTCATTTCCCCTGCAGTTCTCAGCATGGCCTTTTCTCACAACACATATGCATCCTTATAGTTATAAATAAACAATATAGTATTCATGTTTATAAGATTTTGTCTCGCTTGCATTGATTCTAATTTGAATGTTGCATTCATATGAGAATAGATTATTGTCTTAAAAGTTACCCCTCAGTTCAAGCATGGAGGCATATATTCATTTTGTTTGTTTCTGGAAGTGCTGGAGATCAAATATGGTCATTCTAGACAAGCACACTACCAGTGAACTGTGCTCCAATTCTTGTTTATTGAGAGATGGTCTCACTGTGAAGTTCACGTTAACCTTAGATTTATGATCCTCCTACCTCAGTTTGCCAAGTGCTGAAATTACAGGCTTGTGCCACCATGCTCAGCTATGTTCCACTATTGAGTAAATATTCAACATTCATAGAATTTTGTCCTCAGAACTTTATCCATTCATATGCAGATGTATATGTGTGGGCTTGGACCTCAGGATACTCAGAAAACTGCTTTTGAATTGATGTGTTTAAGTTTCAGCAGTCTCAAGACAGAGTTATAATTCTTGAATATTGTATGCCCATATACAATTAGTATGCATTTCGTAGGCTAAAAGAAATTCAAATAAAGGACAGTCAGCAGGTTTTGTCTGATGCAAGCTTAAAATTTCTCATTCTCAAACAAGTCTATCAGCAAGAAAGGTTATGACACGATATTAATAAGAGGAACAAAGGGGTTTGATTTCTTTGTATTCTAATCCTCTAGATGCTAATAAATATTTTAACTGCATCTTCCAAATGCTGCATTATGCCATGTTCAAAAGTACTTTAATTACTTATCAAAAGTGGGAATTAATTATATAAGTTTTCTACTTTGAGTATTTAGGAGAAGAAAAGGCTGTCTATTTTAGTGAGAGAAGATTAATTTGGACTCAAAGACCTGAATTATCGCTGTGGGCCCACCCTTAAGAAAGTAATTACATTTCTCTCAGCTAATACTTACAGATCTTCAAAATGGGGATAACATCTCCTGTATATACCATCAAACGTTGTATGGAACTGATCACAAAAGTTGCTTAAATGGTAGCTATCATTTTCCAACTAGAAGCTTTAAATAAAGAAACAATTTTACCTTAAATTGAGTTGTTCCTTATTGTGGTCCATGTGCTAGGGACATATGATGCCACATCCTAGGGGTGGCTACTGGAATCACAGCTCCAAGAAAGATATGAAGTTACATTTCAGAGACCATAAACAATCTTTTAAAGCAGAAAGTAAATGGCAGTGCAGTAGTAAAATAGTTGCTGTGTAAATAAATCAGGGTGGTGGTGGAAGACGTATAGGAAAAGGTGCAATCAGACAATTTATTTAAGGCAGCAGGTCAGAGATCACCGACCTGGGATTTCTGAAGAGACTTATGAAGGGAAGATGGAAGCCAGAGCAGCCCTCAGACATAGGGAAGGACAAGAGAAACCCAGATCAGAAAGAGTCCTGTGCCTTTGCGTCTCTGACCTAGAGCTACCAAGCCTCAAAGTGGAGCAGGATTAGAAAGGGAACTGATTGGTCAGAGACCTGAGAATCCTGTAAAGGCTGGCCAGCCACAGTGAAGAACAGAGAGCCACTGGTGACTCAAGTTTAACTTTTAAGAGATTCCTCTAGGAGCTCTTGAAAGTGCTGAAAGGGGAACTGATGGGTGCTGGGTGGGCAATAGCAGAGCAGGCGGTGGGACAGGTTGGAGTCTGGAATACACTCTTAAACTAGGGCTTCAATCTATATAAGGGTCAAAAGAAAAGAGACTCCCGAGGCCCACCGGCTTCTAGTCTTGTGCAGCTGGAGGACGTTGGCCCACGCACTGATCCAGGAAGGAGGGAAAAGGTGGATGGGAGGTACCAGTCAAGCGTTCGGCTGGAGGGGTGTCGAATTTGAGTTGTTAATACTGGCAGTCAGCTGACTATCCGCAGGAAATAAGTAGACAGTTCTTAAATGGCAGTATTTGATTTCGAATTCTTTCAGCATTATTTTCTGTATTTTTCACAAGGCAACTTCTGTTTGTGCCCCTTGTCCTCAAAATCCTTGAGGGAACTTCAGGTAATAATTCTCTCATATGACTTTCCTTGCTAAACTCTCCCCTGGACTATGTTTACCATCCAGGAATCTCCTGTTTCCAGCATATCGCTCTGAACCTCCTTGCAACCTGCCCAGGTGATGCAACATAGCAGGTCTTAGTAGTACCAAAACACAGCACAGCCCATCCATCAAAGTACCTGTGGTCACTGTAATATATTCAAGCACTCTACATGTAAGCTTACAAAAAATGTCCTAAATCAAGATTTAGAAAACTAGGGAAGGAAAATCTGGTCCCCTGCCCATTTTTCCAAATAAAGTTATAAAAATACAATCATACCCCTCTAGGTATATTGTGTATGGCTGAGTTCACACTAAAAAGCAGAGCTGAGAATTTATAAGCATTAATTCCATTTTGATTATATAACACTAAGAAACAGACTTAGAAACAGACAAACTTTATGACCCACAAAACCTAAAATATTTGGCCCTTTAAGAAGAAATTGCAAATATAAAGACACATATGTGTAAAGATGTCGTGAGGAAACCTATCGCTTTGCATGCTAACCTTAAAAATTGATTAAAATGGAAGAAAACTGAAAATTTGATTAACTGACATTTTCCTGGAATCATAAAACCTGGTGATTTTACTATTTGAAGGACAGTGAATCTAAACTGAACTAAACTCTGTCAATTTACCTTTAAAACATCTGTAAAAGCAGATACAGTATTAAACATTCTAGTGATATTTTTTCTTTTCTTTTCTTGAAAGCTGAGAATCAGAATTCAATCAAAACAACAGAAGCATCAGGTAAGCTAATTTTCACTTCTCTGAGTATATTCATCAGAAAAAGTTCAAGAACAAGATCAATATATACATGTGCTTAAGAGTGGGGTGAAATAGCCTGGAAGAAAATAGTACAGGGCAACTAAAATGTTAGGAGACCCTGGGTTTCTTTTATAAAGAAAATACAACTGAGAACATCTTTGGCAAGCCTGAGGGCCCTAACAGAGGAGAGGGGAGCCAATCCCAGGGAGAGAACAAAGACTGCAGAATGGTAACTGACCAGCTCCTGCTCTGCACGGTCAGCGTGTCCTCTCCCAGAAGTACAGGATCTTCTTGTACTTTTGCATAAATGTGATCCTGACATCCAAAAAAAGTTATAAATGATATTTAAAAACCTGGAATCTGCCAGGCGTGGTGGCGCACGCCTTTAATCCCAGTGCTTGGGAGGCAGAGGTAGGTGGATCTTTGCGAGTTCGAGGCCAGCCTCGTCTCTTAATATTCTAAGAAGGCTCCATGTTTGGCCACCCCTGCTTTTATTCTGTGACTGAGGAACAGGGATTGAAAAAGAGTCATTAGACAAGAGAAGAAAATAAGGCTGAGTGCTCTTTAACATTATGCATGGTACTTAGAAGACAAATCTCAAAGGTTCTCAGTCCCAGTCACGTTTGATATATACAAAATTAAAAGGTGAGACTGAGGAGATGGCTCAGTGAGTAAAATATTTTCTGAGGATCTAAATTTGGTGGTACCTATATGGGAACAATAATTTATGATTTGAAGAGATGCTTTCTTTATTCTACTCATAAAGTAAAAATGGTATGCAAAGCCGGGATGGTGGTGCACGTGCTTAATCCCAGCACTTGGGAGGCAGAGGCAGGCGGATCCTCTGTGAGTTTAAGGCCGGCCTGGTCTACAGAGTGAGTTCCAGGCACCTGGAGCTACAGGGAGACCCTGTCTCAAAAAGACCAAAATAAAATAAAATAAAATAAAATAAAAGGTATGCAGTACCTTTGTGTATATGTATGTGTATCTGTGTATGTGTGTACAAAATGAGGAATTTATGCACAGTTTCTGAAGCATGAGAAAGTCAAACTTTAACTGCCCAAGAGTAACACACCTTATGAGGCCTCAAAATGGGTATGATCCCCTACCAAATTCACAGAATAGTATCTTCAATCAACAAAAACTAACGAAGATACTCAGCAATCATTCATTCTGTTTTGATTACATATAGCATTAAAAGTCATGAGAGATATGGAACCTACCATTAAAATGTTACTTAGGGAGACTAGTCAATATTATAAATAGCTATAGTAACTCTAGTAGTCATTTAGATATAAAGCGTTTCATCCTAAGTGAGCTTCAGCTAGTCTTATGTAAGGTTGAATAAGAGGTATCTATTGACAAGGAAAAGCATGTTATGAAACAGGAACAAGAGTTCGTCAAAGAAGTAACCTTCAAAATGCCAGATTATCTTACCTATTAATTTTCAAATGCATTCAAAGCTAATGGAGACATAGAAAGATCCATTAAATCCAATGTGGGCCTTGTGACTCCCTAGAGACATAGCATGGTATACCATCACAACAATTTCAAGCAATATTAGAATTCACCTGCTTTTTAAAACTGAATTTTTATGAATTTTATAAAATACATCCTGAACATAATTAGACCACCTCCCTCTTTGTGCCCCTCCATAGTCCCCCATCACCAGATTTCATGCATTCTGTCATATATGTTAAGGCCTATTCAGCAATGTTTGTGTCCCTAAATGTCCCTGTGTGAGTCCATCCACTGGAGCCTGGCCAACCTATCTAGCATCACTCTTTTAAAGAAAACCAACTCTCCCTCTCCCAGTAGTCATCAGTTGCCAATAGTTTCTCAGCTAAAGCTAGGGCTTCTTACCCTTTTCCCCACTTCTACTCTAGGTTTCTGTCTGGTTTGACCTTGCATGAGTCTTGTAAGTTCCTATGAGCAACTTCCCAGCCACCTCAAAATCTCTGTTTCCTTGTGGTTATCCATCACCTCTGGCTCTTACAATCTCTGAGCCCTGGGAGACTGCAGTTTGATGTAGGTGTCCTACCCAGGGACAAGAACTCTGCAGCATCTTATTCTCTGAACTTTGGCCAATTGTGGTTTCCTGGGTTAATCACTATCTGTTACATGAAGAAGCTTTGCGGGTGAGATTTGAGAGATGTGCTAATAGTCATTCTGCCCCCTGTTCTGCTACGTTCCCTGAGACTTAGATGTAGAGACTGCATTGTAGATATATCACTAAGGGCTGGGCATCTCACAGATAATTATTCTCAAATAATCTTCATCTGTTGTTAAAAAAAAAAAAACTTCTTTAAGAGGTGTATTTGTATATAAATATAAGGATATGCATTTAGAAAGAGTAAAAAATTTCATTGGTCAAAATTACATGACAAAGGTAGGTTTTTCTCTAGGACCTATGACCTTTCCAGCCATGGGTATTTGGCTATATTTACAATAATACCACACATGAGTTCCCTTTTATTGAGTGGACCTTAAGTCCAACTAGATACCTGTTGATTACCCCCCAAATAAAAGAACCACTACTGCATCAAAGAGATAGTTTGGCCACTCATTGCTGTCATTATACTTTACAGTGCGGTAAGACCATTGATTGGTGTTCTCCCTTGGCAGCTTGCATAGTGTCCTCTGATAGATACTATGAGAGCTAGTCTTCAGGGAGGAGGTTTCCAGGTCAGTTCCAGCTCGGTTGCTTCAAATCCTGTGTCCAAAGTGTGTCCTGTCTTCAGCACTAGGATCTTACCTTCAAGTTCTGGAAGGCAATCAAGGTCTGTGACAATAGCCTGTGTTATTTTGGGAGTCTCTTGGACCACCCTGACCAACAACCTGAAGGAAGATTTCCCCTGCCTCACACTGTGTTTTTTTGTTGTATAGCCTTCAGCTATACACATGCACTCATATGTGTGTGTGTGTTCATGTGTGTATATGTGTGTGTGTTCATGTGTGTGTGTGTGTATTTTTAAATAATTTTTTAACTAATACATTTCCTTCTGGTTTTTCACACCACCTAAGTGTTGTTTATCTCATTTCTCTCTACCTGTATAAGCCTCCCCTCTCCCTCCCCAGTTAAAGTACCCCCACTTTCCCCATTTCCCCTTTGATAATACCTGTCTCTGACTATCACCCTCTCTCAGGCTCCTTCTTTCCATTTACATCCGTGGTTCTTTTCCATTTTCCTTGTTCCTTTGGTTACATCAAAATATATACTAATTACGCATAGCATGGTGGTGCTCATGCCGTTAATGCCAGCCCTCCTAAAGCAGAAACAGGCTGATCTCTGTGAGATCAAGGCCAGTCTGGTCCACATAGTGACTTCCAGGGAGACCTTGTCAAAAACAAAACAAAAAAACCGAGATATATACTCAGATATATATCTGAGTATTTGCAGCTAAGATCCACAAAGGAGGGAGAACATATGTCACTTGTTTTTCTGAGTATAACAGTTTATACTCCCATTCATGTACCTGCAGATTTCATGATTATTATTTTTCTTTACTACTGAGTAGAATTCCATTGTATATATGTACCACATTTTCATTATCCATTCATCAGTTAATGGACATTTATATTGTTTCCATTTCTTAGCAATTGTGAAAAGACCAGTAACAAACATAGCTGCACAAGTGTCTCTGCAATAGGATGACTCAGGTGTATGCCAAGGAGTGGTATAACCCGATCATATGTCAGATTTATTTTTAGATTTTTAAGAGTTCTCCATACCGGTTTCCAAAGTGGTTGTACCAGTTTGCAGTTAAACCTGCAGTGAATAAGGGTCCCCCTTTCTCTGCATCCTTGCCCCCATTTGATGTCATTTGTTCTCTTGATTTTAGCCATTCTGACTGGAGTAAGAGGAAATCTTAGAGTAGTTTTGACTTGTATTTCCCTAAATACCAAAGATGTTGAATACTTTTAATAAAGTATTTCTTAGCCATTGTTATTTATTCTCTTGCAACCTCACCTTTCAGATCTGTAGTCCACTTTTAATTGGGTCCTTTGTTTACTTGATTCGTTGTTTTTCTGAGTTCTTTGTATATTCTGGATATTAATCCTCTGTCAGATGTATAGCTGATGAAGCTTTTCTCCCACTCTGTGGGCTTCCTCTTCACTGAATTGGTTGTTTCCTTTGCCGTGAACTTTTAGTTTAATGAGGTCCCATTTGTCAGTTGTTGACCTTAATTCCTGAGCAACTGATGTCTGATTTAGAAAGTCCTTTCCTGTGCTGATATCTTGTATGGTACTGCCTCTGTATTCTAAGAGCTATAGAGTGTCAATTTTCACTTTGAGGTCGTTGATCCATTTGGAGTTGACTTTAGCCCAAGGGTACTTTTATTTAGACCTCTGAAAGATCAGAGGTCTAATTTTATTCTTTTACATGTAGAGATCCAGTTTTGCCAGTACCGCTTGTTGAAGACGCTGTCTTTACTTCATTGTGTGTTCTTGGGATCTTCGTCAATTATCAGTTGGCTGAAATTGCATGTACTAGTGTTTGGGTCTTCTATTTTGTTCCAATGGTCTACATGTCTGTTTTTGTGTCAGTACCATGCTGTTTTAATGACCATAGCTCTGTAAAATAGTTTGAAATCTTGCATGATAATCCCTATATTTAGACTTATTATTTTCCTACAGACAAGCAAGGGTAATAACTTTTCCCTGAAAATGAGCTTTTTATTTCTTTGCTGAGAGACCCCAGCCCTGAATAAAAGTAAACAAATATGATTAACATATTGGGAGAAAATATACCATTTACTCAATATTTTGGGGAGCACAACTATATTATTCTGAGTTCTCCAGATAAATGTAGTTGTTGGAATGTGTGTATTTGAAAAGAGATTTTTTAAAATAAGGGATTGGTTTACACGATTTTGGAGCCTGAATATTACATGACCTACAGTGGGAATGTTGGAATACCAAACAAGCTGATGGTGTAAGTCAAACCTACGTCCACAGCACCAGGGTTGCTGATATGGTGC